GGTTTTCAGTCCGAGTTCAATTTCGCGCTGTTCAATTCCGGTTCCTATTCGATTATTACACTTATGTAACCCGTCCGATCGCGCATGCCTTCGAGTCAGGCCACACGCAAACTCGCAACGCGTCAGTCAAGCTGAGCCCGATTGGAACGATTCAGTCAATGTTTGTCCAATCGATCAATTGATATGTCATGGACGCAACCTGATTGATTGGTGCGTCATTGCACCGTTCTTTTACGCGTGATTTGTTGTATATATTTGCGTTTCGAAATCTAATAAAAAAAATAGACACTGACTATTGCCTCAAGCTGTGTTCTCCCTCCGCGTTATTTTGGGGGGCTAAGCAAGAGTCGATTGTGCCATTCGTACGTCTAGTCCAAATACAACATAAGGTTAGCCCCGATCGGGAGGGAAATGGCTGAATTTGACCAATATTGTCGATAAAGGAATTTAGTTCGAAGGAAGAAGAAACGGGTTGGCACAGCACATCATCTGCATATTTCAAAACACGTGCAGGAGAAACATAAGGACTATTGCAAATTTTCTTGGATCAAAGGTATGGATCTAGCACTAATTCTTGAGGATTTGCTGACCGTGGGTTCAGATGATGCCCCTCTAAATCTGGGGGCTGGTTCTCTATCAGTGAAACTGTTGGATAGCCAAGCTAACAACTGCTTGGAACATTCAAGCGACTCCAGTTTCTGTAACAACTCTGATGGAAGGACAGAGTCAAATGATGAGGAGGAATTCTAGAAGAACTCACAAAAATGGAATTAAAGCAATTGTTCATGGATTCAGTGATAAAATGAATAAGGGCAGAGACTGCGTTTAAAGTGAATTTATCAGGTTTATAAGCAATCTGTAAATGATCACTGGGAATATGTATAGACTCCTGAAGGCATTTGAGCCAAAGTCAAAGTCAAGTAAAGGTTTATGCACCCAATAGGATGAATTTTCAGTACTAATTGGCCCTTAAAAGGGCCGTGGTAGCGTTCTCTACCCGGTAACGGACACCGCCGGATCTATTTCATGCTAGTGTACTTGATCACCGCCTCGGTACATTTGTAGACGGCATGCTTAGCCAACTCACCAGGCAACAGAAGACGAACTGCAGTTTGGATCTCTCTGCTCGTGATGGTCGAGCGTTTGTTGTGGTGAGCTAAACGGCTTGACTCGGAGGCAATACGCTCAAAGATGTCATTGACGAACGAGTTCATGATAGAGTTGGCTTTCGAAGAGATACCGGTGTCCGGATGAACCTGACGCAACACCTTGTAGATGTAGATGGCGTTTCTCTTCTTCCTCCTGCGCTTTTTTTGGCAACCTTCGATACCTTGGCCTTCGAGGCCTTCTTCGCTACTTTGCTGAAACAACCTTGGGGGCCATAGCGTAGTAGAGTAACGGGAGTAAAGCACTTCAGTCAAGTTGAGAGCTGAAGATTTCACCGATATGGGTCGAAAACGTGTGGAGTGAATAGAGGATTTCTGTTCTTTGGGGATTGGTATCATTTTGACCGAACTCCAACAGTCTGGGATGGTAGAAGTGTCAGGTGAAGCAGATTGCTACAGCGAGGGAATTGTTATCAAATTTGAAAGGTGATGGAGGTAAACCTTCTGGGCCTGCAGCAGAGAACGCATTGCAACTATTTAAAAGTTTTAACACATCACAATAAGAGAATGGTTCCACGTTACAAACATTTTTTGACGAGTAGGCAGAAAGAATGTTCAACGACTGGTGTAGGAAAATGAAATTGTGGTCATCAAAATCAAAATCCAATTTCGACAGTACTTTCTTCCGCCCACAGAGAAGTCTGATACATTGCCACCGATTTCTGCTTTTTCCTGTAGTCAGATTTTGATGGGACAATAATACGTTTTATTTACCTACTTCAAACTTGAAAAGCCTGGACAAGTGCCTGATAACTGAAGCACTGTAAGACTTGTACGCACACTCCCATTGACGTCGCAATGACTCTAGTAATGAAGAGATTATTCTTCGGTTGGACACAGGGTAGCTGTAATCATAAATAACATAAATTATTCAAGTAAATGCGGGGCACACGAATAGAGACGAGAGAGATGGAGAAAACCACAGAGATGCTTTTCTAGGAAATACAATGGTGAGAGGAAAACTTGTGGGTGAGCCATTGAGAAAGTAAAATCAAGCGAGGTCAGATCCAGAGAAAGATTTGGATGCACAGTGTAAGGAAATTTTAGGTCGAACTAAGAATAAACGGTGGTCGCTGGTGGAAATTTGGGATTTTATTGCAAAAGGAAAGAATTTGTGAATTACACATGAGTTCTCCAATTCGACTTTCTGGCATATTTATGATGCAGCTGAACAACCACGAGCTTTAAACCAATCAACTTGTATTGAGTGAACGATAACTTCACACCAATTCACACTTCAGTCGCAACGTCAGTGAACGAATTTAACTGATACAATTGATCCAGTCATGAAGTTGCAATAAAATCTTTATCTGAAATCATCAGCAGCCCTCGTGGAATTCGAACTCGTGCATGGAGGTAGGAGGTCTAGTACAGAGCAGCCCATTGATGGGCCACTTCCCCAACTGAAAAATGTATCAATATATATTTGATCCAAGCAAGTGAAAAGGAGAGGAAGAACTAGTGTACATCAAATTTTACCCGTTTAACTTAAAAAGGCACCTGCCAATTTGGATACAACGTATCTACCCGTGTACGGTCACCTAAGACTCTGTCGGAATCAACCAAATAAACTCTGAGATAAAGTAGTTGACTTTTCAAATCCTACCAAAGCTACTCATCATTTGACAATCTGACCTGATCACGAAGCACCTTAATAAAAAGGACTATCCGTACTTATAAGGGTGCACATCTAGGCGCTCAGTTCACCAACCAAACACTTGTTTCCATCACCCATATGAATAAATCAGATAACAGCAAACACATGCTCCTCTGGTCGGTTCGTAACTCGAACGGGGAAAACCCTTTCCCGTGTGGTCGAGGGGTATGTCAAAAATACGGTATGGAGATAACTTGAGGGGAACATATTGAAATCAACCCAATAATAGGCAATTATACGAACCGCATGCAAACTATTCACTGATCCAATCACACGAAAGTAAAACGTTTATGCATACCCAAAATACTTTGGCAGCATATATGTGAATGCATAAGCCATCCTATCGTCCCGTTCTAAAAGAGAACCAAATAAATCAGCCACCAAATACTCTAAACTCATTCGACTCGCGTGAAAACCAAGAACAACCCAGTACAATAACATTTGAATGCAATATACCAAGCGGCACACGTTTTCAATGGACAGCGGTGAAATCGAAGCCTTCATTGGCCACGTGGCTTTTCCTTTGAACGTTTAATCTATAAACTCTCACCACCGTATGTCTCCTCAATTAACTCCATTATTGTGGACACAAGGAGTCCTTCAAGACTCCTCCAAACGTAGGAACGAGCACTCACAAGACCTCTTGTTCGCGTCCCCATGGTCCGAAAGCAAATCTCACACATCAACCGTGGCATGATGCCATCACTATAACTAGATCGGTGTGATATGGTCGTTTACATGAGGTTACTCCCAGGAACAAATTACAGAAGAGATGTCGTACGATGATTCATCGTGATGCGGGAACCAGTTGATAATCTGTCGAGCAGCGAAACCGAGAAAAAGCACAATAACCCAGAACATAAATATCAAATCTTCTAGCGACATATTGCACTTTCTGTTACACTCACATCACTTTGCCACAAAGAATCGGACATTGCAGACAGTACGTTAACTTGTTCGATATTTGCCCGAATCTACATCAAAATGGCATTTCTCATTGTAAAGTCCGCAGAATTCGTGCTGCGCTGTACGATAAAAGTACAGCATCTATACATTCCAAAGTACTATATGCCGTTGCTATGGCGTTCCCACTTGGACATTTTATGGAGATTTGTTTTTATAAATATCTTATTTGATTTGATCGCAGTGAAACATAGTTAGTGGCAAAAGGATGTACTCCAGATCCAAACGTCGGTTTTGTGGGAAAACGGGAATTTCACAAAAGGACTATTAATATTTATTGACAAATCAGATTCAAGACAGACGTCGAAAGAGTGGATCGACCGACAACAGATCTAAGCCAACCAATATTTTCGTAATACCATTCGCGTTAGAGTGGGTCGAAAATGTCAATGAGTTCTTGTGCTGTTCAATGATTGATTACTCGGCAACAAACTGCTACGTGCAATGCAAACTTTCAATCCAATGTCACAACCATCCACTAATTCAACTAATCGCTTTTGTCAGTTTCCGTTAACAACTGTGTCCGCTCAGTTTTCTTTCAGCACTTCTCCAATTATTTCTTCTTCATTGAAATTGTATGGATCGAAGCGCAAGTGATATCCCTCTTTAATCCATTACCTTGTCGCTCTTGTGTTCATTTCCCACAAACGCCAACTTACTTTCCCGACATTCAAATATTCAATAAAGTTTCGTACTCACTATGTATTCCTCGCATTCGAAGGCAAACTGTAAACCCAAAGTGTAAGTAACCGGACAAATTTGATTGTGTTTTCATCCATTTTTCAATCCACCTGCGTGAGGATTTGAATGACTTCACATGCATGCCCCGGTTGCATTTCACACACAAACGAAGCTCTAGGGAGTTGAGTTTAGCTCACGTGAAAGCCAATCGATAGGGCAGTGTAAAGGTTATAGTAGTCGTAGTAGTACGCACGGAATTCGGAACGCCAACCGCGCCATATGAATCACAGGACCCGAATAAATAATCAGCTATCACGGACTGGATCTCAGAAGCACTGGACCAAAATGGCACGGGTTCGCAAGCTCCCACGACAACGAGATGCGAGGAAAAGGCTACAGGAATGGTAGTACGTAGTAGTCCGTTTATTGACGAAATGGGAGCGATTAAATAATATGTGCAAATGAAGATTATTGGTTGTCTAGCTTCCACCAATCGGATTGCAATGCTTCTTGCATAATCTTACTTCTGTCTGCACTGTCTTGGATAGGCTGGCATCATCCACCAACGACGTATTCAGAAGCCATGCACGTGTCATTGACGTCAGCATTCAAACTTGATTGATCGTAAATGCCCTGAAACTGTAACGCGCCGATCCAGCGTAGGTGCCATCGTGTAAGCCTGGATCACCACAGCAAGTTTGCCATCAAGTTCGGGAGTTAAAATCCAGATTCTCTCCTCCCCAACTCACGTGAAACTGGTGAGTTACAAATTTGCCATACAGCTCATATAGGGGCGAAACAGAATTACCCCTTCCAATTTAGGACAGATATCATCCTACATGAAAGTCAGAATGTTCGTGTGCTGGCATTGTTGCGTTCTGAGAACCAGTTCTGAAAATCGTGTTTCTTTTATCCAATGACTGAAACCAAACATTGGACAGTAGTCTCCTGGTCGAAGCACTCACAATAAACCATTAATCGATTGAATTAACATTCTCACCGAGATGGAATTGATTTAAGCGACCTACTAACATGTGCTAGAGTAGATTGACACATATTAACTAAGAAATAGCAGATAGACAAAAGCATTGTTGAAAGTGTATCGACATACGATTTTGTGGTGTTTTAAAATGGAATCAGAATGTGATACGTGTTCTGATCGTTGCTTAGTGGGAGCCATCAAAGATCGATTGATTGTATGGAACGTGGTGAGAAAGTGATTGTGATTGATAGTTAGTATTGAGAACGTGTGCTTGTGTCCCGGTGGCGCAATGGATAGCGCGTCGGACTTCTAATCCGGAGGTTGTGGGTTCGAGTCCCATCCGGGACGAGTGCTTTTGAATGCACGGAATACAACGTTACCCATTCGTACATGATCATATGTGTAGTTCAAAATGTAGTAGTTTACGGTCGAATGCAGTAGCCTAGTTGCCCAATTCGTAGTGGAGAACTCCTCACAGAATATCGCATTCCATTCAAACGGTTTTGGTTATTATACTCGATGAGCATATATTTCTGCAGACGAAATAGTACACCTGTTTTCAACATTGATCAGTTGAGAAATTGTGATATACAGAATGACAGGACATTTAATTGCGAGAGCTTGACTATTGTGATACCTTTACTTGACTTCGGAAGTTGATCAGAATGAACCAGCTCGGAGAACAGTTCCTCATTCTAAGACCCAAGATGCTGCGTGCTCCGTACTCGATGCATCCAATGATCTTGTATCTTCTTCGATGCATGAACTCATTCATGATAAATCGTAAGCGCAGCCTCCGCGTTTGATAAAATACCAATTTCACTGATTTGCGCACAACTGTACATCGTGTGTGTGTGTGTGTTGAGTGTGACCTCAGTGTTCTGTTTGATATTTTCCCACGAGTCCTGTGGAAAGTCGCAGTTGTAGCAACCGCCCTACCTGCTTTAATCCAAGCCTGCACTGATTCTAAAGCCGACCCTCATCAAAGTCAAGTTCCGGGTTTGGATATTACGAAAACAGGCTTTTCACATGAACACTGACATAAATTCATGCCAGAATAGGACGTTCGAACTGGAAAGAGATCATACTAGGTTATGATATCATTTCACCGAGGCCAATTCCGTAGTACTATATGAATTCACAGGATTCCATAATTCAAGACCGAACGAAGCACTATCCCGATAGGAGATCTCCGCTAAGATCACTTGAATGTCAGGAAACTAGGTCACAGTAGTCGACCTCTCTGATGCACATGTAGAACTACACACGCTATGATGTACGAATGAGGAGCATCAGATTCCGTGCAATCAAAAGCACTCGTCCCGGATGGGACTCGAACCCACAACCTCCGGATTAGAAGTCCGACGCGCTATCCATTGCGCCACCGGGACACAAGCACACGTTCTCAATACTAACTATCAACCACAATCACTTTCTCACCACGTTCCATACAATCAATCGATCTTTGATGGCTCCCACTAAGCAACGATCAGAACACGTATCACATTCTGATTCCATTTTAAAACACCACAAAATCAGATGTGGATACGCGTTCAATAATTCTTTAATCTTTCTTTTATCTCTTGATATTTCTCGGTAGACCCAATCTACGGTGCATACAGCTGATACTGTCCACTAATACACGCATCGTCGCGTGATTACACAATCAATGGATACGTTCAAACAGGCCAGAGGAAAGAGCGGAAGAAGAACAATTACAAGATTGTTCAAACTGAATACCACAAATCAGTGAGCTGACTGATTGAAAATAATACGGGCGCTGTGATAATCAGATTGCAGAAGAAAAGATTAATGGAGGTAAATCATAATTGATATTCTCCCTGACCCACTCGAGACCAATTTCATTCCTGTTCTATTCATGATCCAGTTCGAATCAAATCGTCCTAGCCACTCACGGTCACGTGTGCCAATCGATCGATTAGTCACAAGATGCCTACCACGCTTGCATCGCTCAACTGCTTTGCACTGAATTGGACTGACATTGAATTCAGTAACGTGAGATAGTTAGCGAGACAAGAGGCAGATATGTGGAAGTATGCTAGTCTCCGACACTGTTGTACTGTACTGTGAAAATGGAATCGGAATGCGTTAATTGATTTGGGCAAGGTGCAGTGGAAACCATCGATGTTTTCGAAACGAGCGACAATATGTCCGACCAGAATAACATGTTGAGCATAGGATTATGATATCAGAAGTTTGTATGTGAACGATGAAGGTAAGTCCCGGTGGCGCAATGGATAGCGCGTCGGACTTCTAATCCGGAGGTTGTGGGTTCGAGT